TACATAGAAAAGAAAAGAGAAAAAAAAATACCATAATGTTTTCCTTTCTTGGGTAAAACGAAATAAAATTATCAAAAACTGAAGTATGAAAAGGTATTCATAATTGTTTTAGCCTACTGTTACCACCAGAAACATTTTTTTTTTCTGAGGGTGATCTGTGGATCAACCAGTCATTTCAATATCTCTCGAAGTTTTCCCAATTGCATTTTTTTTCTTTTATTAATTTCCTGCCAATGTGATTTGTTTTCGTCTTCTGTCGTTCTATTCATATTCGTCTTTTTAATTGAATAAACTGCTTGGTGACACTTCGATTAGATATCTATTCACATGTTTAGCTCTAAAACTACATTAATTTCTAACATTCCCTGAAATAAAACAATTATCTAAGGAAACGAACTGCAACATAATGGCGGCATTTTTGAAAAGAAACCACTCGCCTCGAATCTCGCCATGGCAGAGCCCCTCGACACGTGACAGGCCAAAAATGAGCGGCAAGTAGTTGTTCCTTCGACCTGCAACAGGGAGGTCTTGAGGGCGACGCGGGCGGCGACTCACTAACCCGCCTGCCGAGGGTGCCGAGCTGAGCCATGAGGAATCTGCTGACCCTAGGGGTCTCTGAGGCGACCGCAGCCTGGGTGTAGGGTTGCTAAGGGGCAGAGGATACAGCACCTAGCCCTCTCGTTTTCTTTATTCCCATTCCCAGTTAATTACACTCGAGAAATGTCCAGGAGAGACTTATTAATATCGTTTGGCATTTGTCTCGTCTGTTCTCGACCCCTGAAGAAAGTCCTGCATCTGCATGGAAAAGTCCTTCGCGAGAAGTTGCCACACCAACGCTCTTCTTTAAAATCTGCACCGTAAGGCTAACCACAAACACAAGCTCTCTTTTTCTTTCTTTCTCACTTCTCTTTTCTTCTTTTTCCCTTCTCGGTCATTGCATGAGTACTTTGACCATTCATGAACGTGTGACGCAGGATATATGTAGTCCTATGAACATCCATTAACGTGTGCAGCGGGATCAGATATATGTAGTCCTATATTATGTATTTCTGTTATCAGACTTTACTCTTTGCTATGTTGTAATCAAAATTGATGTGCTTTATAAAATTTCCTGATAAAAATATTGATTGCTAGACATACGAGCTCAGCACAAAACATCCGAAACAACATTTCTGTCCTATATGATTTAAAATACACACAAAAAAACAGAATAAAGAGATAGAGAGGACAGATTCATGTCAAAAGTAGGTCATTTCTTGAACTGTTCCTAATCACTCACATCTATAAACTCTGGCCAATCCTTCAAGTAGGTACACAGTTTGGATACCTCATTGCATGTGCCTATACAACATGAAGACTTGCATTAAGCCATCCGCGAGTGTATATAGACCGGCAGAGAGAGGGGAAAGAAGCTGACACAGTAAAACAGGACTCTAAGTGCTGACTGAAGGCTCTGATGAAAATCATGTGCTCGGAGTGTCAGTGAGGTTATCTTCCACGTGGGCTGAAAGGAAAACAGGAAAGGAAAGGAATCGAGAGGCGTATAGAGAATATAGACCACTTGTGTTTTTCTACATTTCTGCGCGTGTTTGTTTTTGTTGAGATTTTTGGGCAAGACGTTCCCTTCTATTAACTTTTTTTCTTGCTTATAATACATCACAAATTTCAGTTGCAACGCTTTTTTTGTTGTTGTTGTGACGTAATTATGAACACTCGGGCCTGATTTTTCTATTACTGGGTATTTCTTCATAATTTCAGAAAATCTTCGTACATCGGAAAAGGGACTGAGATGTGGGATTGCTCAAGGTCTCTTAGGCTTAACCATCTCGACGGTAAACAAGCAATCGTTTTAGTAATATTTCACGTCGATCCAGTTCTTGCCATTCCCTTCTCTAAACCGAAATTTAAATCATAGGCCTACCGCGTTTTACACTTCTAAAACATGTGTCTCTGTTACAGCTTTCCTCCCTTTCTCTGTCCTCTTTGCCCTACGCTTCATGTTCAATTGCCGCAATGAGCCACGCCCTCTCAGGATTGGTATTTTATATTATGACTAATGATGACAGCCGAACAGTCTGTTTTGAAGTTAAAAGTTTGAAGTCGAAGCCAATGGATTCTGGGTACATCACGCCTCTCTCCACACACACACACTCGGTGAATCTGTCTCTATTTCTCTCTCTCTCTCTCTCTTCTTCCCCCCTCTCCCTCTCTCTCTCTCACTCACACACAGTACATATATTATATACATATATACATATATACATACATACATACAATACACACACACACACACACACACACACAACACACACACACACATATATATATATATATATATATATATATATATATATATATATATATACAGTTATATACACGCGTGCATATAACAACACAGAAGCATTACATTAAAATTCTTCAACATTATTACCATGTCATGCGGACATCCACTGCCCACCAGTGAGAGAGAGAGAGAGAGAGAGAGAGAGAGGAGAGAGAG